CGTGGCTAGACCTCGGAGAGCGGCCAGGCAGCAGCTGGGTAACCAGGAACAGAGTCCGTGGCCCGATGCCGCAGGGTGGGGCCGGGTGACCGAGAGCCGAGCCAGCCCAATGGCGCAGGGCGAGGCTGGTGACCAGGAGCAGAGCCAGCCCGTTGGCGCAGGGTGGGGCCGGGTGACCAGGAACAGTCTGTGGCCCGATGGTGCAGGGTGGGGTTCGGTGGGCTGCTGTCCTCAGGCTGCCGGCTCTGTGGTTCCCAGGGGCAAGATGAAGAGGATCGCCTTCCAGTTCACGCCCTACAGCTGGGTTCGCTTCGAGTGGAAGCCGGCCTCCAGCCTGCGTCGCTGGCTGGCCGTGTGCGGCATCATCCTGGTGGTAAGGCCGGGCTGCCTGGCGACGACGTGGCGGGCTGGGGGCCAGAGCTGGTGCTCACCTTCTCCTCCCCTAGTTCCTGTTGGCAGAACTGAACACGTTCTACCTGAAGTTTGTGCTGTGGATGCCCCCGGAGCACTACCTGGTCCTCCTGCGGCTCGTCTTCTTTGTGAACGTGGGTGGCGTGGCCATGCGCGAGATCTACGACTTCATGGATGACCCGTGAGGGCTGCGGGGGGCCGGGCGGAGACACCCCCGGGGCGGGGGGCCAGGTGGAGACACGGGTGGGGGGCGGGGGCCGGGCGGAGACACCCCCGGGGTGGGGGCTGGGTGGAGACACCCCCAGGGCAGGGGGCCGGGTGGAGACACCCCTGGGGGGCAGGGGGCCGGGGAGCAGAGCCTGGGAGGCTGGGGCCTGGGCAAGGCCTCCTGGAGGACCCTGGGGGGCCCGGAACGCTGAGCCCCCTGCTACCCCTGCAGGAAGCCCCACAAGAAGCTGGGCCCGCAGGCGTGGCTGGTGGCGGCCATCACGGCCACGGAGCTGCTCATCGTGGTGAAGTACGACCCCCACACACTCACCCTGTCCCTGCCCTTCTACATCTCCCAGTGCTGGACCCTCGGCTCCGTCCTGGTGCTCACCTGGACCGTCTGGCGCTTCTTCCTGCGGTGAGTGGGGGCGGGCGGGTGTGTTCTGAAGGAGGGCCGCTGTCCGGGTCTCTTGGCACAGGCGCTGTGGGAGTTTGGTGGTGGTGGTGCCTCCTGTCCCTGCTCCAGCCTTCTGGCTGCTTCTGTGGGAGGGGCCTTTCCTGACCCAGCCCTCGGGTCCTTCACTCTGCACTGATGGATCCAGGCTCCTCAGGGCTCCAGTCAGCCACGGCTGCTGTCGCAGGGCCAGGGTACCCGGCCCCCACCCAGCCCATCCTGGACCTCCACAGGGACGAGGTGCCAGCTGTCCGTGGGGCCTGCAGTGGGGGCTGGTGTGGAAGCAGGTGATGACACTGCCCCCTGCCCCCAGGGACATCACTTTGAGGTACAAGGAGACCCGACGGCAGAAGCAGCAGAGCAAGGATGACCAGGGCAGCGCCGTCGGCAACGGGGACCAGCACCCGCTGGGGCTGGACGAAGACCTGCTGGAGCCTGGGGTGGCCGAGGGCGAGGGGCCACCAACTCCAAACTGACCTGGGCCGTGGCTGCCTCGTGAGCCTCCCAGAGCCCAGGCCTCCGTGGCCTCCTCCTGTGTGAGTCCCACCAGGAGCCACGTGCCCAGCCTTGCCCTCAAGGTTTTCTTTTCCTTTTCTCCCGTGCATCTGGCGAGGCTGAAGGCAAGGGGTGGAGGAGGCCCCAACACAGCCTCATCTCCGTGTGTACACGTGTATGTGTGTGTACACATGCATGGCCACCTGTGGTGTGCACGTGTGCTCTTCTCCAGTGCCGGGAGCTGGCTGGCGTGGCAAGGGTGTGCTCTGGGGCAGCGTGTCCCTCAGGAACCAGGTCCTCCCTCCCCTTTCTGCCTGGTCAGCCCCATGGCCTCTGGCCCACCAAGCTCCCTGTCAGCCACGGCATGGCCCCGGCAGGGACATCACAGTACCCTTTCTGCACTCCGTGGGCCCCGGGTGTGCTGAGGCCTGGAGGAGTCCACCCTGGCTCCACATCCACCTCCGCAGCTCGCGTGGGCGTTCGTCCACAAACACTCCATAGCTGAGAGGCAGTGGATCCAGGCGGCGACGCTGAGCCATTTCCTCAGAGCCTTCCTTTCACACAGACCACCCTGGAGGACACGTGGATGGGGTCAGAGATCACTGAGCTGGCCCCTCCAGGGGGCCTGGAACCCGGATGCTGGGGCCATGACGCCTCTGTGGCTCCGAGTTGAGGGTCATCTTCACGAGCAAAGAGAACCAATAAAGTGACAACGAACGTCTGAGGCTTCCAGCCCTCCCCCCAGCTCCCCGTGTCCTGCTTTGGGGTCCAGTGCAGCCCCCCAGCCTGCCCTCACACCCAGTGCCCACTTGGGGAAAACCACACAGAGGACGGGAGGCACCGGGGTCAACCTCAGCCTCTGTGCCTGAGCAAAGACTTGGCGCCCGCCCCGCCCTGCCTCCCAGAGAGAGCAGGTGCCGGACGCAGCCCCTCCCCCAGGCTCCAGGAGGGTCCAGCACCCACCCTCTACTGCGTTTGTCCCAGGGCCGGCGACCACTGGGCAGTGGACACAGGATTCCTGGAGAGGGGCAGCTGCCTTCTTGGGCCACTTTTTTTTTGAGATGGAGTCTTACTCTGTCACCCAGGCTGGAGTGCGGTAGCACCATCTTGGTTCACTGCAACCTCTGCCTCCCAGGTTCAAGCAATTCTGCCTCAGTCCCCCAAGTAGCTGGAATTACAGGTGCCTGCCGCCACTCCCGACTAATTTTAGTATTTTTAGTAGAGATGGGGTTTTACCACATTGGCTAGGCTGGTCTTGAACTCCCAACATAGGTGATCCACTTGTCTCGGCCTCCCACAGTGCTGGGATTACAGGCGTGAGCCACCGTGCCCAGCCAGGCCACTATTTTTAAAACTTTACCATGAAAATTTTCAAACACAAATGGAGAGAAAAGGGGTTCCCTGAGCCCGGTTCCTAGCAGGGGGGAGGTAAGGGGTGTCGGTGGCTGGTTGGACACAGCCTGAGGGGACTCCAGGAGCCAGATGCACCCACACTGCCTGCTCTGCCTCAGGGCCCCAGGCTTTAAACAGCTTTACTTTTTTTCTTTGACTACTTTTGGGGAAATTTTCAACCCCTGTATGTCAAGGGCTGTAATGTGGAGCATACATGAGAGCAGCCTTCCGGGCTCGGCAGGAAGATGTCCTGTGTGGCCACCACGCCCGGTGCCCAGCAAATCCCTTTTCCAGTCACAGCTACTCACAGCTTTGGCCTCTGCGGCCCTGCCCTGTGCTGCAGGACACACGGGGCCTCAGCATCTGCTCTTTGCAGGTGGCAGCTTTGACCCCTCAGGAGGAACTCCCCACCGTGGGGGCCCCTCTCCCCTCCCTCACTCCTGTGGGACCCACTGTCACTCCACCCGTGCTTTGCATCCCCCTGATGCTCTGAGCCCCGTGGTGGCCGGCGGGGTGGTGGCAGGTGGCGGTGACGGCCGGCGGGGGTGGCGGCAGGCGGGGGTGGCGGCAGGCGGGGGTGGCAGTCTGCTCGTGGTCACCATCTGCTCTTCCCAAGGAGCAGGACGAGGCGGGGCTTGCGATGAGTCCTGTGTTCAGGCGCCCGCCGTGTCCCAAAGGCGGCCCCTGGGAGCCTTTCCGGCAGCAACTCAACCCCAGACAGCGCCCAAGGGCTCTGGTTCCCCACACACCGAGATGCTCCGAACTCACCTTGGGCATCTCTTGCCCCAGGCCTGGCATCACCCATGTCCCCAAGGAGCCCTGTTCCCCTGACTAGGGGGGTCATAGTTAAGAAACTAAGATCCTGGGTCATTTTTTAATGTAGGTATGTATGTATATATGTATGTATCTATTTTTGAGACGGAGTCTTGCTCTGTTGCTGGAGTGCACTGGCGCAATCTCAGTTCACTGCAACCTCCACCTCCCAGGTTCAAGCCATTCTCGTGCCTCAGCCTCCCGAGTAGCTGGGATTACAGGCATGGCCACCACGCCCAGCTAAATTTTGTATTTCTAGTACAGACGGGGTTTCATCATGTTGGCCAGGCTGGTCTCGAACTCCCGACCTCAGGAGTTCCCGACCTGATCCACCTCAGCCTCCCAAAGTGCTGGGATTACAGGCAGGCGTGAGCCACTGTGCCCGGCCTCCGCACCCAGCCCCTGGGTCGCTTTAAAGGGCTTTATTGGGCCGGGTGCGATGGCTCACACCAGTAATACCCAAGACCAAACACCAGCCTGGGCAACATGGCAAGACCCTGTCTCTACAAAAAATACAAAAATTAGCCAGGTGTGGGGGTGCACGCCTGTAGTCCCAGCTACCTGGGAGGCTGAGGTGGGAGGACGGTTTGAGTCCCGGAGGTCGAGGCTGCAGTGAGCCGAGATCGCGCCACTGCACTCCCACCTGGATGAGTGAGAGACCTTGTCCAAAAAAGGGGGGTTGCCGGGGAGCTTCTTTGCAATGAATTTGTAGTTGCTGACTCAGCATCAGACCTTTGAAAGCTGACAAGCGTCCCCCCTCTTGGCTTGGCAGGGCAGGGCACCCCGGGCTGGCCCACCTTGATCAGCTGCCCACCCGTGGGCAAGATGGGCTGCCCCTGAGGGTGGGACCCACCGTCCCACACAGAGCTGCAGACAAAGCTGGGGCGAGAACTGGGCTCCAGGCAGGACCCCAGCTCGGGCTGCGCTGGGCAGTCCTGGGAGCTCCTGAGGCTCCAGGGTGGGAGTGGCTGGGCCTGCGGGCAGCTCCCAGCAGGCGTCACCCTGCACAGGCAGAACCAAGGGGCATCCCCCACCCCAGGCAGGGCCTGCCCTGTGCTCCCCAGTGTGGGTGGGGTACGGCTCACAGGACCCAGCTGAGCACAGCCAGGGCCTTGGGCTGCTTCCCTGGTGCCGGTCCCTTAGGCAGTGAGAAACCCATGCTACGTGAGGTGGTGTCGTCTCTGATGCCAGCACAACTCGCAGGGACCCCAGGAAGGACAAAAGCCCCTCCTGCCAAGAAAGTGCTTTAATGGTTTATAAAGTGTCCAAAATATACTGGCAAAAATAAGCGGATCTGAGCGTTTCTCTTCAAACCTAGGATATGCAGGGCGAGGACATGGCAGGGGCTGGTCAGCCCCAGGGGTGCCACGAAGCCGGTCGTCCAGGGAGAGCAGCGGCAGGAAGCGCCTCAGGAGATGACCCTCAGGGATGGCTTCTCCTCCTCCAGGGCCTGCAGCCGGTCCTCCATCGCCTCGGACCAGTAAATGTCGTACAGGCTGCACAGAGGCCAGAAGGCAGGCATGGGCCTGTGTCCTCCCCAACCCCCGCCTTCCTCCCTGGGCAGCCCTGGCCACACCACCCGCCCAACAAGTCCACATACACCAGCTGCTCCAGGAGGCAGCCCGGCTGCCGGACACTCTCCACCAGCTGCAGGACGCCGGCGTCCCCCAGGCAGTTGTTGCTGAGGTCCAGCTCGCGCAGGCTATGGTTAGCCAACAGGGTCGCGGCAAGGCTGCTGCAGCTGCTGTCACTCATATCACAGTCGCCAAGCCTGGGTGGAGCAGGGTGGGGGTCAGGGTGTGGGGCATGCCTGGCACCACATGACAGGCCGAGCAGCCTGGGCCTGGGGGGCGCGATGGAGGCCCACGCCGCGAAGCCCAAGGACCAACGGACACCTGTGCTCGGCAACTCGGGACCCTCAGGTGGGGCCGTCCCCAAGGCTCAGCCTTGGCAGCTTGTCTCACTGTCCCTCTATGGCACTGGGCAGGTTCCCCACCACAGACAAAGGCCACACAGACAAGTGGGGCACGGCAGCCTGACACCTGAGACCTTCCGCAGGGAGGAGAAAGGACAGGAGGGAGATGCCGTCCACCCAGAGAGCCACACCCACCCCCTTGCCTCTCCTCGGGGTGGGCTTCAGAGGAGAAGCCAGCCAGAGGCCGAGGGGCAGCTGTGGGGAAACGAGGGTATGGAGACCACCAAGAAAGGCACAGAGTGGACAACAGACTTGAGGTTCCAGAGAGAAACGAGGGTACAGGCCAGACAAGAGGGTGGAGGAGACAAGACCCAACACCCACTTCCCGGGGTGGAGCCGCCACAGGCCGGACAGCAAGGCCAAGGAGTTGCGCTGGGCCTCTCCAAAGTGGGGGCCAGGGAAGCTGCAGGACCTCCACCCTGTGCGGTGGCTCAGGGGGAACCAGTCTGCAGTGACCAGGACCCAAGGTTCCTCTCCACACCTGGAACACCCACAAGGTCCTGGCAGCCAGGATGGTGTCCCCTGGCAGGGAACTGGAAATCCCCCAGCAGGAGGAAGCCCTCGGGAAACACAGCCATGACTCGGTCTGCAGGACCCCCTGTCCAGCATGACTCAGCCTGCAGGGCCCGCTGTCCAGGGCTCCGAGGCCTCACTCAGAACCTGGTGCCCAGCCCAGGATGACCAGCCACCCATGGAAAGCCCCTGGCAAGAGGCACACGGGAAATAGCAAACAAAAGACAAAACACTGAGGATGGAAATTCAGTAGACTGGCTGGTAAATGAGAACATCTCCCAAAAATAAAACATCGAAGAGAAAGAAAATTTGGAGAGCACAATGAGAGGGCCATCAGGACAGGCTCATGGGCACACCAAAGAGAAAGGGAAGAAAAGAGAGAAAAAAATCAGCAAAGGCATATTTTCTTAGAACCAAGTATCCAGCACAGTCAAAGAACAAGACCCACATCCAGGCCAAGCACGTGGAACTCCGAACACAATGGACAAAGAAATCTGGAAAAACTGCTGAGAAAAAGCAGATCATGCGCACAAGATCACAGTGGCTCATGCCTGTAATCCCAGCACTTTGGGAGGCTGAGGCAGGCTCATCATTTGAGGTCAGGAGTTCAAGACCAGCCTGCCCAACAATGGTGAAACCCCATCTCTACTAAAAATAAAAAAATTAGGCCGGGCATGGTGGCTCACTCCTGTAATCCCAGCTCTTTGGGAGGCCAAGGCAGGTGGATCACGGGTCAGGAGATCGAGACCATCCTGGCTAACATGGTGACACCCTGTCTCTACTAAAAATGCAAAAAATTAGCCGGGCGAGGTGGCGGCACCTGTGGTCCCAGCTACTCGGGAGGCTGAGACGAGAATGGCGTGAACCCGGGAGGCGGAGCTTGCAGTGAGCCCAGATCGTGCCACTGCACTCCAGCCTGGGCGACAGAGCAAGACTGTCTCAAAAAAAAAAAAAGCTGGGCACAATGGCACACGCTATACCCAGCTAAATGATCCAAGGGCAGAGCAGGGGCACAAGGCCTCCAAAAATTACTTTCTGCAGAAACATTTCTCAGGAAACTGCAAGAAAACGTACTTCAACAAAGGGAGGAAATCCAGAAAGACATCCTGACCCGGAAAGACATCCTGAGCCGGGCAGGGTTCCCGCGCGGGAGGAAGGTGGGCGGGGCTTCCAGGAAGATGGACCACAGGGTGGCCAGGGAGGCTAGAGCCGCATAAAGCTCTCAGGTTTCATGAACTATGACTTCTTTCAAAGCTAAAAAGAGAACTCAAAGTGGTGCCACCACCCTGCCTTGCCCAGCACATGAACATGCATGCTCGCTCTCACCCATGTACTCATGCACATGCACACTCGTGCTGACACGTGCTCACACACACTAATGCTCACTCTCACCCATGTGCTCCCACACATGGACAGTCGTGCTCACACTCATGTTCTCACACACAGACACGCGTGCTCACTCTTGCCTGTGTGCTCATTCTTGCTGTGCTCATACACACACTCATGCTCACAGACACGTGCTCACTCTCGCCCATGTGCTCCCACATGGACAGTCGTGCTCACACTCATGTTCTCACGGACACTCATGCTCACTCTTACCCATGTGCTGACACAATCATGCTTACACGTGCTCACATGGACACTCGTGCTCACTCTTGCTCACTCTTCGCCCATGTGCTCAATCATGCTCACATGCTCCCAGACATGTATGCTCACTCTCGCTCATGTGCTCACTCGTGCTCACACGTGTTCACACACGTGCTGTCACCCATGTGCTCATACACGGACACTCATGCTCACACACACGGAGTCGTGCTCACCCATGTTCTCACACACGGACACTCATGCTCACTCTCACCCATGTGCTCAATCATGCTCACACGTGATCGCATGGACACTCATGCTCACACGCTTGTGCTCACACATGCTCACGTGCTCACTCGTGCTCTCACCCATGTGCTCACAGACTCGTGCTCACACACACGGACACGTGGCTCACTCTCGCCCATGTGTTCACACACACGGGCAGTCATGCCCACACGTTCTCACACACGGACACTCGTGCTCACACATACGAACACTTGTGCTCACTCTTGCCCATGTGCTCACACACACAGTTGTGCTCATACATTCTCACACGGACACTCCTCTTGCTCGTGCTCACACACACGGACACTCATGCTCACATGCTCACACACACAGACATGTGCTCACTCTCGCTCGTGCTCACACACACGGACACTCATGCTCACATACACAGACATGTGCTCACTCTCGCTCGTGCTCACACACACGTACACTCGCTCACTCTCGCCCATGTGCTCAGACACGCTCATACACACTAGTGCTCTCACCCATGTGCTCACACACGGACACTCGTGCTCACACGTGCTCACACGGATACTCGTGCTCACCCATGTACTCACACACGGACACTCATGCTCACTCTCGCCCATGTGGTCACATGAACACTCGTGCGCATGCCCATGTGCTCACACAAACGGACATTTGTGCTCACACTCGGGCTCACTCTCACCCATGTGATTTCACGGACACACATGCTCACACTCATGTGCTCACACTCACAGACACTGCTCATTCTCGCCCATGTGCTCACACACACGGACACTCGGGCTCACACATGCTCACATTCATGGACACTCGTGCTCACACATGCTCACATGGACACTTGTGCTCTCTTGCCCATGTGCTCACAGACACCCATGCTCACACTCACACAAACGGACATTTGTGCTCACACTCGGGCTCACTCTCACCCATGTGATTTCACGGACACACGTGCTCACACTCATGCTCACACACACGTGCTCACATACGCCTCACCCATGTGCACACTCATGCTCACACACTCGTGCTCACACCCACATGTGCTCACACACGGACACTTGCGCTCACTCTCACCCATGTGCTCCCACACACGGACACTCGTGCTCACACAGACACTTGTGCTCACTCGCCCATGTGCTCACACACATGCACATGACCTCCCAAATATGCGTACTCGTGTCCCTCTCACACTCACCAGAGCACCCGCAGCACGGAGCCGGGCTGGCCCAAGCCCTTGCAGAGTTCCTGCACGCCCGCGTCCCCCAGCCTGTTGTTGCTCATCTGCAGCTCCAGGAGAAACTTATTCTGGGTCAGCACCGAGCTGAAGTGGGAGCAGCAGGCGGCTGTGAAGCTGCAGGACTTCACCCTGTGGACAGACAGGACTGAGGCCTGGCAGGGGACCAGGCTGGCCCACAATTGCAACTGGCCCTTCTCCTGAAGGCCCCACATGGACCTGAGCAAAAACATCTGAGAGCCTCCCAAGGTGTGGGCACCTGCACCTGGTCCTCAGCCCCAAGCACCGTTACTATCAAACCACAGGCTGCTCCCTGGCCCATGCATTCTGAACGCCAGAGCTGAGCCCAGCACCTCCACTGGAGTCGCTCACTCCTCCCCTAGTCTCCTTGGTGACCCTGGCCCTCTCTTGGGCGACAGGGCCCTGCCCCGACAGCCACACTCACCACAGTGACTCCAGCTGGCAGCCGGGCTCCAGCAGCGTCTCACACAGCAGCCGGGCACCCTCGTCCCCCAGCTCGTTGCCAGCCAGGCTGAGCTCCTTCAGGCTCTCCTTGGTCCTGAGGACACGGCACAGATCCGCGCAGCCCTTGGCGGTGATGCCACACTCCCAGATCCTGCAGGACATGGACCCCCCCAGACTTTCCTCAGCGCCATCTCATGGCCTGAGGTGCGCCCAGCGGGTGGGGGAGGGCTCTGAGGACGGCCCGCGGCCCCTTATCCTCCAGGAAGGAGGCCTCGGGGAGGTGACTCACCACAGGGTCCTGAGGCTGGAGCTGGGGTGCAGCAGCCCTGGGCACAGCTCTGCAATGCCCACATCACCCAGCTTGTTGCTGCCCAGGGCCAGCTCCCGCAGCGAGGCCTTGGAGGCCACGATGCTGCACAGGTCCCGGCAGTTGTTTGACGTGATACCACAGCTCTCCAGCCTGGGGATGCAGGTCACGCATGAAGCAGCATGGGACCCCCCAGCCCACACCCTGCACCTCCCCAAGGCCCAGGGCCTACCTGAGCGCCTCCAGCTGGCAGGGGGAATCCTTCAGGCCCTGGCACAGCACACGGACGCCGGCCTCATTGATGTCGTTGTTGCTAACCGTGAGCTCCTTGAAGTCCGGCTTGGCCCTGAGCACGGAGGCCAGGGGCTCGCAGCTGGCAGCCGAGAGGTTGCAATACTCAAGCCTGGGGGATAGCCGAGCTTAGCACCACACAGGAATGTGCACCAGCCAAGGGTATGATGCCAGGGAGTGCAGGGGGGTGCTGGTGTCTCATCTCTCCCTCAGCCTTCTCCTGCCTAGGCATCAGGTGGCAGTGCTGAGGGCCCCCCCAGACTCATCCAGAGGCCCAGGCCTCTGTGGACACCGGCATTCCTTCCGGAAACCCCTCACCCCCTCCCCGACCTCGGACCTCGGGGCCCAACCAGGCCCAGGAGAAAGAAACCAGCCTCTGGAGGGCAAGGCCACCTGCACGTGCCAGGCCGTGGTCAACTCACAGTGGCCAGGCCCCCCACACACACTGAAGTGGTGAGTGGAGCCGGACTCACGGCCAGGTCTGTTCCCACTGTCAGGTCCTGGGGCAGCTGTGCCTTGCAAAGGGCAACTGGAGGCGGAGGGAGGGCGACGACAGATCCCCCCAGTCCCAGCATCATGGAGAGGGGAGAGCACCACAAGGACCCTGTGACCTGAGTCCCTCCTCACGGCTCCTGGCAGGCGATGTGCTATATAGGGGGCTGGCTGGGGGACAGGCAGTGGAGAGCATGGGTCCCGGGGCAGGGGACACACTCACTGCAGCTTTTCCAGGCGGCACTGGGGGTCCAGGAGTCCCTCGCAGAGCAGCTGCAGGCCCGCATCCCCCAAGAGGTTGTCGCTGAGGTGCAGCTCCTGCAGCGTGGGCAGGGAGCGTAGTGTGCCGGACAGGACCCCGCAGCCGGCCCCCGTCAGGTAGCAGTTCTGGAGGCTGGAGCATACCTGGCCGTCAGCAGGGCTCCCCTGAGCCAAACTGCCACACCCTTCACCTGCCAGAGCCTGGAGCCCGGAGCGGCGCTCTGCAGGCAGTAGGTCTGTACTGCTCCTTCCCTGGATAGGGCTCTGGGGTCTCCAGGCCGAGTGAAGGAGGGCACACGTGTGGCTTGGCTCAGGGAAACCTTGTCTGCAGACACACCCTTCAGCAGGGGTCCTGTGGTGATGCTGGAAGGCCAGGGATGGCGGGCGGGCCCAGACCTTGGGCGCTGGGACAAGGCAGGAGGGGCCCTGTCCTCCCGCCGTGAGGCCACCAGGCCTGTGTGCCTCTGGCTGATGCTGGAAATGCCCGCTGCCACCGCCTGCCCACCCACAGCTGCCCACAAGCCCCTGGCAGCTTTGTCCCCTGCTGCCGGGCTACCAAAGCAGGCCGCACCAGGCCAGAGGCAGTGCCAGGCCCCACCTCACCTCAGCTTCTGGATCTTGCAGGAGGGGCTCTGCAGGCCCTGGAGCACGCAGTGCACGCCGGCATCACCCAGCTCATTGCTGCGCAGGCTGAGTTCTGTCAGTGCAGGGTTGACTCGGAGTGCCGAGCTGATGTCGCCGCACCGTGCCTCTGTGAGGCCACAGTCGTCCAGCCTGCAACCAGACCCCAGGGTCATGCGGGCCACGCTCAGGCTCCACCACTACCCCACGCGCAGATTACAACCCATCAGCGGGCCCAGAAGACAGCAAGGCAAGTCACACAGGACGTTGCAGAAATGAAACAAAAAAGAGGGGAACTGTTCTGTGAAAGTTTTAAGATGCTTGCACGTATGCAGACATGTGCCTGAGGCCTCACGTGCTCCTCACCTCCAACCCTGAGGCACGAAGCACAAAAGCTCCTGGTCTGTCTCTAGGGAAAAAAATCAATCCTGTCTGAGGTAACACCTACGGGAACTGCCTGGAACAGGACGCAGCAGGTAGTTCAGACACCGGAGCAAATACACAGTGACACCAGCTTCTAACATGACAAATACACATACTCCAGTCCTTCCTGATTAAATGAATAACTGAATAAATACAGCTAGGAAAAAAACCAGGTCTTGCTCACAAAAGAATGACAATTGATCAATGTGGAGGAAAGAAAGAAATTACAAAATTCAGACTAGGCGCGGTGGCTCACACCTGCAATCCCAGCACTTTGGGAGGCCGAGGTGGGCGTCACCTGAGGTCAGGAGTTCGAGACCAGCCTGGCCAACATGGTGAAATCCGTCTCTACTAAAAATACAAAAAGTAGCCAGGCGTGGTGGCAGGTGCCTGTAATCCCAGCTACTCGGGAGGCTGAGGCAGGAGGACTGCTTGAGCCCAGGAGGTCGAGGCTTCATGAGCCATGATGGAGCCGTGATGGAACCACTCCAGCTTGGGCGACAGAGCGAGGCCGTCTCTAAAAACAAAGAATTTAAAGTATCTCTCGAAGGCACTGATCGGTCACAGGAGGAAAGGCAGTGGCGTCACAGTGAAGAGGATTCTTGCCAAAAATGCGGGACTTCAACCATGAGAAACCATCAGACAAGCCCCAAGAGAGGACGTCCTACAGGAGCACGGCCAGACCCTCAGATCACCAGAACCCAGAGAGATGAGGGGACAGTCACAGACGTGGAGAGGGCTAAGGAGACGGAGGACTGAGGGCCACGCAATCCTGGACCAGTCAGGAAGAAAAGGGCAGGACGGAAGAGCAGACTCTGCCTGGAGGTGCTGGGCCAGAGCTAGCGTCCGCAGGTACACAGGACCACCTCACCAGGGAGCCCCGTACAGTCCTCATAACCCTCCGCAAACCTGACACCACTTCAAATAACCAGCTAGAAAGAGACAAGATGAGACCCACCCAGGCACTCATGTCCTGCTTGTGAAGCCACTGGGGTTGTGAGGACCTCGAGGGCCAAGGACTCCCAGCCCCCAGCTTGGCAGGGACAGGCAGCGCCCCACGGAGGCTCATGGAGGGGACCCCAGCTGTGTCCTGCCCTCGTGTCTGCAAGGGAGGGAGACGGGTGGAGACACCAGAGCCAGACACCCACTGGCCAGTGCTGGCCCACACTGCATGAGCCTGGAATGGGCTTTACATTTCTAAATGGTCGACGAGAAGCACAAGAATCACATTTCATGCACGTGGAAGCTGCATGGAATTCATACTTCACGTCCATAAACAAGGCATTCCAGAGCAGTGCACCCTTCAGAGGAAGCCGCCACCTGCGAGCCTGCCCCTGCCAGCACCCCAAGGCCACCCCGAGGGCAAGCGTACCTGACCACTTGGCACTGCTGGAGCAGGGGGAGGAGCTCGGCCCACCTAGCGTCACTCAGCTGCTCACACTGGATGTCCAGGCTCATGGTGGAGGTGAAGAGTTGCTGGGTGGGAGGCAGAAGGAAGAGAACGTCTTGGCCAAATCCCCTCACGGTTTCACAGGCCGGAGATTCTGCAAACGAGAAAAGTCCAAACAGGACCCACAGGGCTGATGTTTCAGGAGGAGCCGCAGCCTCTCCCGGAGCAAACACGTCCTCTTCAGCACCTTCCCCACCTTCGTCTCTGGAGCAGACGTCAGGAGTGGGGCAGGGGGGCAGGGACCAGCACCCACCCCCAGAAAGGCCACCATGGGCAGCAGAGCTTGGGAACACAGATGCCAGCCCACCACCTGGCTGTCGCCACCCAGCCTCTGTGGGCACCTCCTCCTGCCTTATAGAGGGCGGGACAGCAGCAGTCCAGGAAGCCCATGCCTCTCATTTGCCTGGGCAAGGACAGGGTAGGGTGGGGTGGTCTGTGAGCCTGGAGGCCCCCGCAGGGGAGCAAGGGAGTCTGTGCACTTGGCCTGTGTCTCACTCTGAGGACAGGCAGACTGGGCGGGCCAGGCAGGCTGCCCACAAAGCCAGAGACCTCCCAGGATGCCAGGATCCTGGACCCAGCCAGTGTCCCAAGCAAGACAAAGCAGGTGGTGCAGTCACTTGGGGTGCCAGCTTCCATGGCCCCCTTCTGGGGCTGGGGACTCTGCACCAGGCCAGGGCACATCCCCTGTCCCACGGCACACCAGCCCAGAGGCCAGACTGCCAGGCAAGCTGGGAGAGTCAGCCTGGGACGGGCACGGCTGCCACATCCTGAAACCTCCCCAGGCACAGGCCCTGAATATGGAAGGAGGTTCCTGAAGCCCTGCGAGCACAGCTCAGGTACCTGCCAGGGACCTGGGGAAAGGAAGTGGTCAGGCAGAGACAGCCACCCCAAACCTCGGTAGGTGGATACATTCCCTGAGCACCTGCCAACCACTGGCCTGGGAACTACAGCAGGGCAGGAACCTGGAGAGGAGGCTCGACGGCCAGGAGGCCTCCCTGGAAGCAGCAGCCCTGATGCCACACTGAGGGGAAGGGCGGGCAGGGCTGGGGAGAGGGCTCTCATCCAAAAGCCCCAGGAAGCTGGCAGGATCCACTCCAGAAAATGACGCAACCCCAGCTGCCCTTCAGAAAGACGGCCAACAGGACCGCTCGAGAGGCTCCTGGTGCCCCGACACCCCCAGCTGCCTGAGTCTGTGTGCCAGGCACTCCTCTTCCCGGGGCTGGTTCAGAGGCGGCTGGTCCACTCCGGATGAGTGGAGGGAAGAGGCCCCTGGTACCAACCAGGAGGAAAGAGGCAAGGCTGGGCTCGGGTCCACACGCCTGGGCGCCAGGCCTGCAAGGACAGTGGTAAACGGCGGTGACACCCCACGGCCCCAGGCGGAGGAACTGAATCCACCCAACCCGAAGCACGTGAGCAAAACCGACCAGGGTGTGGTCACCCAAACTCTGACTCCAGAATCCAGTCATCGGGAGGTGCTGTGGGCGGCAGGGGGGTGGAAGGAGAGCCTCAGGCGGCTGCCCAGGCTGCACATGCTCCCCACATCCAGCCCGACACTCCTGTGTCCTCCGTAGCCAGATGAAAGGTGGCCCCAGGGTGTCCTCCTCCTGGGAAAGCTTGGTGGGGGCTCAGGGAGGCCAGCGCTCCTGTGACCATCTGGAACTAGGGCTGTGGGAGTGGCCCCGTCCCCACCCCTCAGGCTTGGCCAGACCCTGCTGTATCCCAGGAAGGCCCTTCTGAACCTCTGTGGGTCACAGATCCCACTGAGAACCCCACGAAAATGCGGGTGTAAACGCCCTTCTCTGTGACTGGAGGAGGCCCTGGCTCCCGACACAGCCAGGGCTAAAGCACATTCAGGAACTCGCCACCACCAGCCAGCAGCCTGCTTTGGTCAAGGCAGGGGTCTGAACAGCGGCCCTAACGGTCCCTTATCCGGAAACCAGACCTTCCCAACCTTAGGGCGGGAGGTCTCCGCAGCGCCCAAGGCCTGAGCCCCCCCGCCCCGGGAGCCACACGGGAGGGGCCGTTCGGAGGCCAATTCAGGTCCTTCGGTTCCGACGTGATGGGGACGTGGACACGGCGACCTCCGAGGGGCGCAGGGCCACCCTCTAGGGAGACACGGGCCACGCTCAGGTGACGCGCAAACGTTCCCGGTCCCTGGGACCCCCGCCCGCGTCAGTCCCTCGAACCCGCTAGTTCTGGACACCCTGCCGCGTACTAAAGGGCTGGGAGGGAACCTCAGAAAAACACGGAGGGGGTCTCCCCTGCTTCTCTGCCCCGCCCGCGCCCGCTCAGCCGGGACGCTCACCCGGCGCCGCCGCCGCAGGCCCAAGGTCCGAGCCGCTTCGCGCTCCTTCCGCCCAGGCGGGGGCGGGCGGAGCCTCCAGCCGTGCCCAGCTCAGTCCCCGGGCCTCGTTCCAGTTACTACCCCAGCTTCCCCACTCCCCCCTCGGTCGGGGTGAAGCCTGACGTCCGCATCCCGTTTCCCACCGTCTGGCCCCAACCAGCCTTTCCACTTAATCTCCCGGAACCGGCGCCTGCACCCGCCTTCCCCCAGACCATCCCTCCAGCTCTGGCAGCCCCTGCCTCCTCCCACAAACAGGCCGGATTCCAAGAATTCCCCAAACACTAAAATAAAGCAAACCTGAGACACCCCTTTTTGCTACCAGACTGGAGAAGATGGAACAGATTGACGATGATTTGTTGTGGCTGACGCGAAATGGGCGAGGCAGTGAGGAGAGGTTTTGGAGAGCCACTGGGCCCTCCTGAAAACTTTGGACACACCCTCCGTTTCTATCAGTCAAGAGTTCTGGCCGGGTGCGGTGGCTCAAGCCTGTAATCCCAGCACTTTGGGAGGCCGAAACGGGTGGATCACGAGGTCAGGAGATCGAGACCATCCTGGCTAACACGGTGAAACCCCGTCTCTACTAAAAAATACAAAAAATTAGCCGGGCGCAGAGGTGGGCGCCTGTAGTCCCAGGTACTCGGGAGGCTGAGGCAGGAGAATGGCGGGAACCCGGGAGGCGGAGCTTGCAGTGAGCTGAGGTCCGGCCACTGTACTCCAGCCCAGGCGACAGAGCAAGACTCCGTCTCAAAAAAAAAAAAAAAAAAAAAGAGTTCTTCATGCCTGAGCTCGGAAAACACGTTCAAAAATATTTTGTTTGGTCCTGCCTTTCTGGACCAAACCAATGTATATCTTAAATGTATTTCACTGATGCCTCATATCTCTCTAAAACGTATAAAACCAAGCTGCCCCAACCACCTTGGACACATGTTCCCAGGATCTCCACCAGCCGCGGTCACTCATTTTTGGTTCCGAATAAATCCCTTCAAATATTTTACATTTTAACTATTATTATCGACAGTACCTTTTTAAAAATAAGAATGGCCCTGAAAGATGTCAACATCCGAATCTTCAAACCTGTGGTGTTACCTTACGTGGCAAAAGGGACTTTGCAAATATTAGGAATATTGAGATGTGAAGGCTATCCTGGGGTATCTGGGCGGCCGGCATATTATCGTGAGGGTTCTTATGCAGAGACAGCAGGTTTTGAAGATGGAAGAAGATGGCCTCTAGAAGTTGGAAAAGCAGATTCTCCTTGGGAACCTCCAGAAGCAACCACCCTTGCCAACACCTTGATTCTAACCTCCTAAAACTCACTTTGGGCTTCTGAGCTTCAGGCCTATAAAACAACCTATCTATAGCAAATTCGTTATAGCAGGGATGAGAAAACAGCTCACTGCAGCCTCCTCCTCCAGGGCACAAGCCATCCTCCTGCCTCAGCGTCCCAAGTAGCTGGGACTACAGGCGTTCACTACCGCAACTGGCTAATTTTTTCTATTTTTTTGTAGAGACGGGGGTCTCACTATGTTGGCCAGGCTGGTCGCAAACTCCCGGGCTCAAGAGATCCGCCCGCCTTGGCCTCCCTAAGTGCTGGGATTACAGGCTGCACCAGCGCATCCAGCCAAATGTAACTTTTTTTTTTTTTTCTGAGACGGAGTTTCACTCTTGTCACCCGGGCTGGAGTGCAGTGGCATCATCTCGGCTCACTGCAACCTCCGCCTCCTGAGTTCAAGCGATTCTCCTACCTCAACCTCCCAAGTAGCTGGGATTACAGGCGCCTGCCACCACGCCTGGCTAATTTTGTATTTTTAGTAGAGACGGGGTTTCACCACGTTGGCCAGGCTGTTCCTGAATTCCTGACCTCAGGTGATCCGCCCGCCTCGCACTCCCAAAATCCTGGGATTACAGGGGTGAGCCACTACGCCCGGCCCCAATGTAACTCTCAATGGCCAACATCGTGTGCAGTCTCCCGCTTGCATTAGGTTTACTCAACCAATCGCTAAGACGACACTTGAGATTGTTTTCAGATCTTTAGGCTTTCCACCATCCTAGAAAGGGGCCTTGCCTGGTTCTAAGGCCGTTCTGAAACACTACCCAACTGTCCTCGGGAAACGGTGCATAAGTCCTCTGGTTTCCCCCGAGGCGCGTGGGCACCGTGGCTGGAACCTCGCCCAGTAACACGATGTGCCTGGGGCCCCTTCATCATTTCCGCCAACCCTGGGGACAGCCCTGACGCCGGCCCCTAAAAGCCGTTCCAGTTCTGTCGCTCTCCTCCCCGCAGCCCCAGGCGGTAGCTTCGCGGCCCGGCGTCCGGTCTCCCGGTGGCCCCACAGCCAGGCTCCGCAATGGAGGGCGAAGGACCCTCCCTCCCCGACCTCGCACGACCGAGACCGCCCACCTTTCCCCCAACGCCCGGCGGTGGGAGCCGTTCGAGTCTTCTCCGCCAGGGCGGTCCTTCCCGGGAGGCCGGTTCTTTGGGGGAATAAGGTCAAGGGTTACGTGATTTGGGGAAGAAAGCTCGGCTAGACCAAGATTGCTTGCGTAGCTCGCTGGAATCTAAGGCACTAAGGGGCAAGACGGCCACGCGAGAACCACCCAAGTAGGCGCAGCACCGCCCCCCGCCCCGCGCAGGGACTTCCGGCGCGCCCCAAAGGGGAGCTCGCGGCGCGATGACGTCTTCAGGGAGCGCCACGTCCGCCGGGCGGCGCATCTGCCCAGCGCAACCTCGGCCCCGCCTTGCCGGCCCCAGACCCCTGCCCCGCCCGACCCCGCCCCGCCGCGGGAGCGCGCCACTCGCCCGCGTAGCAGGGGCCTCAGTAGCGCTAGGCGCGCGTCTTCCGAAAGTCCGACCGAGGCCGCCGTAGGCGAGGCCTGGCTACAGGCTGACGCACCGCTGGAGCTACTGACCTCGGGACGACTGGCGGACGGTCGCGAGCCTGGAGACCCAGAGCGAGACGGCCGACTTCCTTCTCGAGCCAGCAGAACGGGTTGAATGTATCGACACCTCCAGCCACCAGAGTCAGCGGCGCGGACGTGCTGGAGCCGGCTGGTGGGCGTGGTCAGGTGCGGGGGCGGGGACTACTGGCCGGGCTCGGCGCAGGGGCGGGACCTGATGGGCGCACTCTTGATGCGGGGGCGGGGCCTAGTGGGCAAGGCTCGGCTCGGGGGCGGGGCTCGGCGAAGTACAGTCTTGGCGCAGGGGCGGGGCTGGTGGGGCGAGGCTCGATGCGGTGGCGAGAGGGTCTCGTGTGGGGACGGGGTCTCCCTAGTAGGCGGGGCTTGGTGCTGGGGGCAGGGCCTGGCGGGCGCGTGCTGTGGCCTCGGACTGGCAGACACTTCTCGGCGTATTCCTCGGAATCCTCAGAATCCTCGGAGGAGGCGGCCGGACCCGGAGCCGCAGCGCCGTGGAGGCGGAGTCGCAGGCGCGGGTCGGGCCTGGCTGGGGCGCGGAGCGCAGCTCCCGGAGAAAGCGGCCGCCTCGGGACAGGAGGGACCCGGGAGAAGCCCCCCTGGGGCGGCTCCGCATGTCAGGGTCGCGCCTCTAGGCGACCTTGGTAGAGGGGCTCCTTTGCGCCGAGATCGCGACCCTCGAGGGAGCCACGGCCCGGTGATCCACGCTGCCCGTCCCGGCCATTGGCTGCGCCTTTGTTTCGTGGGACCCCAGCCCGCAAGGCCTGCAGAGCTGCGGCCTCTTCCCGAGTGTTCTCATCGCGGACCCAGCTGCTCCCGCGTCCATTCTGCGGCCAAGACACCCGAGCGCCGCCCGGAGCCCCGGTACTGAGGGGCGCAGGCCGAGTTCCAGACTAGCCTGGGAAACGCAAAGCGACCCCACCTCCACAAAAGTGGGTTTACTTTAAGTTTTTGACTAGTCTCCAGTTCACAAAATTGACATTTTGGCAGATGAAGATTGCAAGGAAACTGACGGTACGTCAGATTTGTTCTTTAGCAATTTGCTAAATCTCTTCTCTGACTGCCTTTATTATGTATTTATTTTCGAGACAAGGTCTTACTCCGCTGCTTAGGCTGCACTGCAGTGGCGCCATCCCAGCTCACTGCAGCCTCCACCTCTCGGACTCCAGCGATCCTCCCGCCTTAGCCTCCCAAGTAGCTGGGACCACAGGCGCCAGCACGCCTGGCTAATTGTTTTATTTTATGTAGAAAAGAGGTCTCCCTGTGTTGCCCAGGCTGGTCTTGAATTGGGCTCAAGTGATCCTCCTGCTTCAGCCTCCCATAGCGCTGGAATTACTGGCAGGAGCCACTGTACCCGGCTTGATCATCTTTAAAGAAGGTGGTTCATGGCCGGGCGCGGTGGCTCAAGCCTGTAATCCCAGCACTTTGGGAGGCCGAGACGGGCGGATCACGAGGTCAGGAGATCGAGACGCCACCGGAGCGGACCTCACGGACTAGGCCGCACTGCACTCACAACCGCGGCAACACACGCGCCGTCTCAAAAAAAAAAAAAAAAAAGTGGCCTTCTGGCAGCAGTTGCTTCACATCTTAACTCCCAACACTTTCACTGGTGCTGGTAGAGAGATGCACCTGAGGTCAGGCGCAGTCAAACAACTGGCAACATGGTAACCACTGGTCTA